GCTTCTGCGCGCAATCTGCGCTAAAAGCGACACATGCGCGCAGAAATCAAAACGGTGTCAAAATGGTAAAGTCACTGTGACTTCAAAACAGGGGTTTCCGCGCATCTTCCATCAGTAAATAAACCTATGCAGTTTAATGGTAGCAGGTGCTTCCCTGCCTGTGGACAACAAAATTCAGAAGGGGATGGAGTACACTGTCCTTCATTGTGCAAACAGACCTTTCGACATTACTGTCTTTGCCAGAGTCAAAATGGACAAAAGCAACAGGTGCACAATTGTCATTAGATAATTGGTTGAGCATGATTTCAAATCTATTGGATAATGGATCCAAAGGTGGGAGTTGCCATAGAGAAATGTCCAAGTGTCACACCCCCCCTGCACTATAATTAGATCAGAAACAAAATAACACTGATATATCTTGAAGTTACAAAGATTGAAGTACAAGCATGCTTCTGCATCCATCACATGTAATAAATTAGAAATGTTACAAATCCAGTTCTTCATTTAGGCCAAAAGGCTCTACTGTGGTGAATCCAACATGCATCAGTGAGTTGATAATCTCACCAGCTCTGGACAGGGCACATTTGTTATTCTAGTGTCCAGAACTGGAGAGAAAATTCCAGATTTTAAATCTTGTTTAACTTCCCAATGACAATTACAGTATATACCGGTTTTTACCATTTTTATACTTCTGTTACTACAATTCACTACAGTCATTTGATAGTATTTATAAATCAGATGCCAATTTTACGTAATAAAACATAAGAAAAGTTTATAAAATGATGCCTTAAACCAGCAGCATGACGCCCTTCCACCTCGACCAACTAGAACGTTCTGTGCTGTACAGTTACTAAGTAGAGAACTGTAAGCTATGTAAGGTTAATTCATTTTGAGGTAAACTTCACTACAATTCAGAGGGAAATATTGTAGATCTACATTTTACACTAAAAGTATTTGTAGATGTAGTTACTAGTTACTTTTCAGATGAAGATTTTACTTTAAAAAACTCTTGATAAACATATAAAATACAACACTTTATTAAGATTAAACCTGAGGTTTCCCACCATTTGTGACTTCTTGCAAAAAAATTGTGTCTCGTTGGAACTCAGATTATCTTATAGTGTTTTATTGCTACTTTTCCTAGAATCTCTACTTTTCCTAAAAATAAAATCCTAAATTATGAATACTTCTTCTACTACTGTTTTTGTTGCAACCAGCCCCCTTAAATTCAACTGATAATGCATTACAGTAAGGGTTTTAAGTTTAAGCTACATCTGCAGCCTCTCAGCTCAGGTTGCATTTTATCCATACTTTACTATTACAGTTGTTCTCTCATGCTGGAAGCAGTCATAACTGCACTCTAACTACTGCATTGAAGGAAAAAATGTGTTGGCAAGTTGGCCTTACAAACAGGCATAATCAGATCATTGTAACCCAGTTGGAGAAGCTGAGGATAATGGAAAATGGAAACAACTCTGTAAGGTTTTAATCCTATTCCTGTCGCTTTTTCACTCTCTACTGATGCATTTACAGTCTCTGCATGACTCAATGGAGATCTCCATCACACCTGACTCTCCATCGCAGCTCTGCAGTGGGACTGTTTGTGGTGAGAACAGTGCCAAACCAACTGTAACTGCAGTTAACAGCACTACAAGTACATAGAACAAGTTAAAGACAAAGGCCTGACTAAATATTCAGAGTAAATGGAGAGTTCAGGTCCATGAGCACGGTCAGAGGTCGTTTAGAGTGCGAGGAATCAATGAATTAATCATCACAATGGACTTGGAAACTCAAGGTTTATGTGGCAATGTTGCACCCTAGAGGCAGTCTGCATTTACTGCAAAACCAGACTTTGACACTGACTTTGGTTTGTCCTTTTCTGGATGAGGAAGAATTAAGACTGATTGTTGAGCTATTTTGGTAAGTGCCCCTGACCCTGAATATGCAATTTAATTCAATTAAGATGAGAACTGACCAAAAACACTGCCCGAGTCGTAACAGGTTCTTCTGGCTTAGAAGTGGCACTTCAACAGGAGGAATATATTACATTTATTCATTTAGCTGACGCTTTTATCCAAAGCGACTTACAATTGCTATACATGTAAGAGGTCGCACGCCTCTGGAGCAACAAGGGGTTAAGTGTCTTGCTCAGGGACACATTGGTGGATGGGTCACAGTGGGTGATTGAACCCCGTCGCCATAAAGATTAAAATAAAATTAAAAGCCGCCAACACTAAAATAAAATTACTTTTAATTCTCAAGTTCACAAAAGCTTAAATTTAGGGATGCCTTTTATTAAACAGATATTAAGAAAGATTTGTACATTTTAGCTTATTTCTTTATAATTAGGTGTGTTTAGCTGTTAGGTTTGTGTCTGTGAGAGACACTGGATGTCCTGCAGGGTGGTCTGTTAAACATCTATACAAGAAAGTAAGGTTTTGTTATGTGTGTGACATCTGTACATGCATACTGTGAGTCGGCTATATGGTCACTGTGGGCTCTTCACATCGGCCTGCTGAGTCTGCTCGTCCCATTGTCACGTCTGAGCTGCTGCTGCTGCTACCATCAGCAGAAACACACACTCACACAAACTGACACACAAACCAACACACACATACGCACACAGTATACATCCTGTCTCACATTCTGATCTGAACAAATCCACTTCGATCAGGAATGTGCTCACAAGCATATTTTTATTGTGATGTTATTTGTAATATACCCGTGTGTGTGTGTCTCTCTCTCTCTTTCCCCTCTCGCTCAAACACACACACATACAGCCACACACACACACACACACCCACACACACAAATAGACAGATAGTCTAGGCAATGTGCTGACATCAGGAAGCCATTCCTAAATGTTTATTGTTCAGTGTGGAGGAGAGAGGAGGGTGCACCTATCTGCTGCTATCTCTGTTTTGTTTGCTGCTCTATGCTTACTGTCTTTAATGACACAATGAGGACCACTGTGAAATACTATAAAAAATCAAAAGTATAAAAAGTAATGGATCGGTCAACTTTTGAATCGGCTTCCTTTTCTTTCACACATCATTTCCCCTGTTTAATAATAATCCATTTACCCTGCTACCTGAAAGTGAAGCTGGCAATTACAGCTCATCAGTTGATATGCTGCCAGTCCTGCCAATGAGGCCTTTCAATCGATGCCATTGCCCCCTGCTAACCTTCATTGTTGATTTATTCACAAACACTACAGGTTTTCCAAAAATAGCAACAGGTACTTTTATTCACAACTCACATTTAAACCACAAAGTTAAAAATAGGAACACAACACAAATGTTTTAACTCTTGGTGTTCACAGAGAAAATATTAATATCTCTGTACACCCACCAGACTCTCATGATGGAATGCTGTCATTTTAATTTTGTTTAAACTCCACTCAGCTTTGACTCTATTGTCAACAGACTTTTTCCTCTAAACCCTCTGTGGATTGCTGCTCTTTTTTCATGATCAATTAAACAGCCTGATCACATTCACAACACGGCCACTATCTTCCTATTTCAAATTCTGTGTTAAGGTCATTGATTGAGTTTGTTCATCCGTCATGAAATTTGATATTCAAGTTTCAGAAAATTAGATTACTTTTGACATGCATTTTCAAAATGAGTCAACACAGGTTGGAGACAAACAATTGATCTGAAACTTGACAAACAAAATGATGGTGACTGATACATGTGCTGCACATGTATTAATGAGCAGGGACAGTGGAAAATGCTGAGTCAAACTGACAGATTTTTTTAAAACTCCACCCAGCCGCAAACACTAGTGTCCTAAAAAATAAAAAAAAACAAAGGTTTTCATTACAGACTGATGATTTTTATCATTTCTGATGGTAGCCCCTTCAGCACCCCCATTTCCTGCATCTATGTTAAAGAGTGTCAAACATTTGATTGGTTCAATACATGTTACTAACTAATAATTCAAAGATGATATGACTATGACAAATTAATTGACTGAGTGATTAATATAGTGTATATGCCTTTATTTGCATTTTTGCAGCAATAGTCATGCAAATACAAAAAGTGGCTAATAAAAAATTTACCTCTTTATGCCAACAATAATATGAGGATAAAATTGTCATTCTTTAAATTTATGAAATCACAGTATTGCTTTAAAACATGCTGTTAGTGTTGTTTTTTAAAAAAAGCTTTTGACAATCCTACATTACATTGAAACCTGTAATCAGTTCATTACTTTCAAAATAGATCAAAAAGTGTTTTACCACTGAACTTCAGTGTCATATAGGCCTATTTGATAATAGATCTACATACTGGAGGGGAAAGCTATGCTGTTTTTTCCCCAACATATAGAGTCACAGCAGAGGCATTGGTAATGCTGTTTAGCCGTGTGCCCTCTTTGTGTTTGCATGAATCACTGTGTGTTAACCCCTCTGTGGCTCACACAACTAAACAATGGAGTCCAAAGCAAAGTGCTGACATGAGTCCAGGCCTGCCTGCCCCCCGGCCCCTGGCACCCATGGGTGTATATATACCCCCATACACACCATCTCTGCAGACCATTCAGTGGAACACTGCGACACACAGCTCACCAGTTTGGGTAGGTCAAACTATAGTTAAAAATACAGCACAGTTTCCCAATCTATGGACACGATGTAGTGAGGGTCTCAAACGCAATATATCAAATAACAACAGGGAGTCTTACTTGGTCGGAGTGAAGCTTTTTTATTTCCTTTACTGCAAATAAGGGAATCATTTTAAAACAGGAGGTTAAAACAAATCAAGAAAAGGAAACAAGAGGGTTTGAGATTATAGACAGCTGGAGTCTCCTGTGAGAAACCTGGGAGTTAAGCACAGTAAACAGTGAGGTACAAGCCTTTAGAGAAAGCTAAAATGTCACTCAGAGTAGCAGAATGAAGAATAGGTTGCAATTTAGACTTGTGAGAGTAAAATGGTGTTTAACTTTTACATAGGTTCGTTTTCTTTCATCCTGGCCCTGACTATCCGTGTATTTCCCCACAGGTACTACCGGGAAAAAAAGGACAAAATGGCTCAGACAAACCCTATGCCCATGGGCCCTTGGAAGGTAAGCATATGACAGACATGCTTAACACTATATCACCCATCAGCACAGGGAACAGCAACAACTTTCAATGCATGATTAGGTACAGTGGTGTTTCTATTGTTATGTATTTTTCCCCCCACAGTCATTCATGGTTTCTTCTGTGCTTTGCAGATCACCGTGTACGATCAGGAGTACTTCCAGGGCAGGCGTATGGAGTTCACCGCCTGCTGCCAGAACATCATGGAGTGTGGGATGGAGAACATCCGCTCCCTGAAGGTTGAGTGTGGCGCGTATGTATCCAGAGAGCTTTTCCTCACTTTTGGACCCACTACAGCTGATTTAAAAACTAAAATGGAGCAACTTTTCTTTGGCTTGTGAGAGGTTTAAAGAGTGTACTGATTTTCTGTTTCCTTGATTTCTGACTTTGTTATTTTCACTCTCTGCCTGCAGCTGGGTCGGTTATGAGCATTCCAGCTTCTGCGGCCAGCAGTTTGTCCTGGAGAAGGGAGACTACCCTCGCTTTGAGGCCTATAGTGGCAGCAACGCCTACCGCATCGAGAGGATGATCTCTTTCAGGCCCATCTGCTGTGCTGTAGGTTTATATAAAGCCTCTTTTTCACATTAGACTGACCTCAAATTGTGCTAATACACCTTTAACCTCCTTTGTACAGAACCACAAGGAGTCCCGCATGACCATCTTTGAGATGGAGAACATGATGGGTCGTCAGTTCGAGCTGTGTGACGACTACCCCTCTCTGCAGGCCATGGGCTGGATGAACAACGAGGTTGGATCCATGCATGTTCAGTGTGGAGCGTAAGTCCATCGTCATGATATTTGATTTACACTGACGCTTTACACACCAAAGCTAGTCCTGAGCAACAGCTACAAACACGCACTGGCTGGAAATACTGCATGTTTATGTGTAGCTATTTAATAAATGAGCATGTCCTTCTGTTTTCCTCCAGCTTTGTGTGCTACCAGTACCCTGGCTACCGTGGCTACCAGTACATTATGGAGTGTGACTGTCGTGGAGGAGAGTACAAGTGTTTCCGTGAGTTTGGCTCCCACTCCCAGACTCCCCAGATTCAGTCCATCAGGAGGATCCAGCACTAAGAGGGGAGCACTTCCTTCACACTTCCTTATCTTCTCCTCCTCTCCCTCCTCCTGCACTTCCATCCCTCCTTCTCTTCCTCCTCTCCCCCAACCTCCATCTCCCCGGCTTTGTTGGTCCAGCTAGTCTAAGCAGGATCCTGGGCTGGAGTTCAGGTGCTTACTGGTGTCAGTTGTTCACAGCACTTTTTTTTTTAAAGAAACATCACAAAAAGAAAGGAAAGATGTAAGAAAGACAGAAAACAGGAATGACAGAATTGTAAGAAAAAGCTGAATCAGTGTGACAGAGAGGCCTCATCAGCCGAGGTTGGCTGCAGAATGGTGAAAACAACTCAAAGTTTTTGCTCTTTTTCATCTCCACCATCGATGGCATCATCATCGTCATTGTCTTCTACATCAACACGATCACCAGTCTTGCTGTTTACTGTGATATCCATGACTGCCTGTGTTCAAGACGATGAATAAAGAGAATGAGCAAAGAAACGGAGAGATTCAAAATACGATTGACATGTACCTCAATCATATCTGTGTCTTGTCTTTCTCTACTGAAACTTTGACACCTCTGGAAAATAGCTCAAATTGTAATAATCACCCTGCAAAACATGAACTTATTAGGTAATTCCCATGGGCAAAAAAGTTAAAGTGTGGATGAGAATCAGTCTCTGAAAACCGCACTGACCTGTCACAGGGTTGTCCAAATCCACAGCACATAATAATTAATAGAGGTCTCAGGCTGAAGGTTGCAGAAATGTGTAAAAAAAAAAAATCATGCACAGTGGTATCAGCAGTATTTCCATTGCATTTTCACACATGGTGTCATAGGATTGAAAATTTCAGTAAAATTCAAACTGCTTCAACGGACAGCTGGAATAAATAAATAGAGAATATAAAGTATTGTCAAACAATGTGGAATTAGAGGATTTTAACAACTTTAAAGCTAGTTAAGTTAGACATAGAGATACACACACACACACACACACACACACACACACACTGCATTTGGGTCAATGTGACCTGTGTTGTTACACTGTAACACCTAACATGCCCCCTAAAACAAGGTTTTAAGGGGAATAAACTACGATGGACAAATAAACAAAAACTAAGAAAGATTCACATAAGTCCTGCTTGTGAACTATGTTTATGAACAATATGTAAAGGCTTAGCCTCACAATCCTACAGAAAAGTCCCAGAAAAGGCCTCTATGGTTAGAGTTGCTGCAATCACACCTAAGCACATCCTCAAAAAGGGGCAATTGACTGACAATGTAATCAATGTGTAGGCTCTTTATTAGATATACTGTATTATACTCAAGAAGCAAGATTGCAATTTGTTCCACCAGCATATTTAAGCTATAATGTTTTTTCATTTAGGCCTACTTGCTATATTCCAAAACAATTTCACTTTGACTGCATTATGATGGATGAATGCTGTGATAACCTTTAAATAATAGGCCTACTAGTAGTGGACATTTACTCACATTTACACACAATTCTGAGTCACTTATTTCCATTCCATGCTGCTTAATAGGCTACTCGTTGTTCTAATATTGTTCATTTTACTCTACTTAACAGATAATAATAATAATAATAATAATCTTTATTTGTAGAGCACTTGCTTTAACAAGTGTAAAGACAATAATACCCAAAAGACAATAATACAAAAACAATACAAGATAAAAGCATGAAAACATTGAGATGACTAAAATACACGTTTAAGATAAATATAAAACTAGTAAAATAGAATAAAATAAAAGGAATAAAATAAAGTCAAACAAGGTCGGGAAAGGCTCTCCTATAAAAGTATGTTTTAAGAAGGGACTCAAAAAAGTTCACTGACTCAGCTGACCTGATTTCCTCGGGCAGGCTGTTCCAGATGTGGTTACTTTACACATTAAGATTTTAAGTAAAAACACATGATACATTTACATAATGCGTTGTTACAGATTAAACTACGATAATATATTACATTAAGTTAAATTAGCTCCAACCCAAAGACATGCTGAATTTGAAATGGGGTAGCCTATTTCGACTGTAGAGAAGTAGAAGAACAGTCATCATTGTGGAGCTACATAAGGAAAAACCTAACCTAAGGCTATTGTGCCTCTGCTATCGTGTTTCATATTTCGGGATAATTATGACTGAACGTCCATCATTATCTTTGGTTCAGTGAGCGGGTGGTACCAGAGACGTTTTGTAGGACTTTGGTGGTGCCAGCCGAAAACCACTAGAGGCCGCTGTGGGTCAAATTATAATTGCGACAGTCGTTTCTTCTTGACGGCTGACGGTGACATGTCAACAACAAACATGGCAGCCAGCAGCAACTACTGGGAAGGTAAGTTGTTAGAGCGTCTAATTTAATACAACTGTCTGCTTGTACATATTTTATTGTTCCTCGCCGTTTCTGGTCAAATACATTCAAAATGTTCCACGACACGTTACGTTAATAAACTTTACATATAATAGCGAAGAGCTATCTTTAGCTCCAAGCTAACCTGATCAGTAGTTAGTCTGTAATAAACGGTCATACTGCTGCCTTACATGAAGTTTTCTCCTTCCAGCGGACTTAAATTGTACCGAGTTGTTTTTAACTTGATTTGGCTGTTTGACCCTCTGCTACCTGTTTGCAGGCAAAAATTGAGAAAAGTAAACCAAAGCAATCGAATAAAAGTTGTACAAACGAAGGTCTAGCATCGTCAACAGTAAAACAAAATTCATTGTTTTGTTTTATGTCTTATTCCTTAACCTAGACGTCTGCACCTATTGTAAGTGTAATATTGTAAGTACATCAGTATTTTCACCACACAGAGCTTTCATGTAGTAATGACTATAGCTTCTCAACACTTTTACTCAAAGTAAGAAGCCATATCTGGGCCTGATCAGTCTGCTATGTGGGTTGTCAATTATGATGTGATTTCTACATTATGCCTTCTTTCTTATTATTCTATTCTTCTTGCTGCCTGTTTTCTTTTTTTTTTTTTCAGCTTTGCAGATATAATATTTATTAATTTTCCATATTTGTTTTGTTCACTTATGAAATGCCTGATTCCATTTTGAAATGTTTTTTCTCTGCATCTTCACCCAGATCTGCGTAAGCAGGCCAGACAGCTGGAGAATGAGCTGGACCTCAAGCTGGTCTCTTTCAGTAAACTATGCACCAGCTACAGCAGCAGCAGCAATCGAGACCAGCGGACAAGAGACAGCAGGTCAGCAGGACACTTCACAGTGTGGATGTTCCTTTCTGACAAAGGATATACAATTCAATTAAATTACATTTATTTGTGGTTTTGAATCTGTGTAAAATCTTTCAATTCAATGGTGTTTTGGGAATTTTTTACATTTCTGGTGAATAACTGATGTTGCACAATATTTGAGGAATATACTCAGAAAGAGAGCGAGCGGAGCAGAGGAGATGGTTAACCGTAAGTTGTCAGGCTGGCAGTAAATGTACAGTGTAGGTTACAGTGTGCCAGTTAATAAATGCTGCAGTTTCTCATGATAATAATAATAATAATAATCATTATCTTTATTTATAGAGCAGTTTTCAAAGCCATGTAACAAAGTGCAAAGACAATAAAACACATCTAAAACAGAAAAAAAAGATACATGATAAAAGCAAGAAAATACTTAAGAAATTAAAATAGAATTAAAAGAAAAATAATTAAAATCAACTAAAATCAGGAAAGGCGTTCCTATAAAAGTATGTTTTAAGAAGGACCTTGAAAGACTTAACTGACTCACCTGCGCTGATTTCCTCATGATCAAGACAAGTCTGTCTGTTGTTCCCCAACTGCTGGAAAAGTGAAGGTGTTTTGCCCTGATCTTCAGAGACTATGGTCTGAGATCTGAAGCTGAGCAGTTAAACCTAACAGTAGGGGAGACAGATTCCTCTGAGTTACCCAGACACTATTTGGACTAGACCAACCAAATTGTTATATTAAATTTACATCTGTCTGCTAATAACACCCACCAAATGCATGCACCTAAGTCTTCCACAAACTATATTTCATGCTGCTTTTAGCATAACCTGTAAGGAGAGAAATGACAATCAAAAAACAAGTTTTATTTGTTGGATTGCCAAAAAGAAACATAGAATTTGAACTTTAACATCCTTTGCCTTTTATTCTTAAACCAGGTCCGATTCTGTTGGCTCACCTCAAGACAATATGCTCGTTGCCATGACTACTGAACTGGAGCAGCTATTGGCCAATGTAAGTCAAATACTACACATATGTTGTCGGTAGGTTCCCTTCAATAACAGCTGTTGAAGCCTCAAGCCCAGGTGACGTGATGCCAAAAATATCGAAGGGATTTATAATCAGCGTTCTCCAAACAGAACTACTATTTGTTTTACAGGTTGTACAGCCTTGTAGTTAATGCTTATTATAATACATTCATTTATACTTAAAAATATGTTTTACTGTTGTCTGTGTTGAAGAATATTCGTAGGGGGCATTAAGTGATGTTACAAGAAAAGGCAAGACAGGTCAAGCTTGGAGTCATTAGCTGACCCCAAAAGTGTTCACTGACCTTCCAGCTCTAGTTATTTATCACGTCATTGTCCTTGTTAGGGAGACAACAGTTAGACTGATTAGGGAGAAACAGTAGCTCAGGCGTCAAGCTGGCAGATATTGGTGTTCTCTGGGAATCTTACAAGGTTGAGTCTTACAAGAATGTTTACAAGAACTTACTGGCTCCACAGATTAAAGTACACCTCATGGATAGTAATAGATTCTAATATGATGTAGGATTGGAGTCTAAACATCAGATAGCTTTGTTGTCTTAGGTTAAGGCCAGCTAAAGATGACCTAATAGGAAAACCTACAATTTGGTGGCATTTGACTTGTTCACAGGTTGTATGCTGGCACTGTATCTCCTCAGCCGGGCTCAATAAACCATGCTATGTTAAGTCTTCATCAGTCTCCAGAACAGTCTGACTTTCTAAATTATAATCTTGCCAAGTTATTCAAATTCTTTGTTGCTTTAAGATCACTTTCCCCCCTCCAAAAAAAGTAATTGTTTTTATGGCTACTCAATATAAATTGTATTTTTTTGCAGCTTTCAGCAGTCAATGACAAAATGGCAGAATACACAAACAGTCCGGGAGCTTCGTCACATAACGCAGCATTGATGCACACTTTACAGAGACACAGAGATATTTTACAGGTACCTACAATTACTTCACTTTCTTGTATTACTTAGAAGTGTTTCAGATCGTCATCGTGATTATTTTGCATATTTTGAAGAAGAAACTTTAGTGAAACTGTAATACAATTTTTTGGATTTGTGAATTCTCATTCTGTCAGTATAATCATGTCTTGCTGACTTTTATTTCATAATGTTTTATCCTGTAGGACTACACTCACGAGTTCCACAAAACCAAAAGCAACTTCTTCAGCCTGCGAGAGCGAGAGGACCTACTAGGCTCCGTTCACAGAGACATTGAGTAAGCACCTTCATACATCTCTTGATAATATAGGACATTGTATATTGTTAGCAAATGCCTATATAGTACTCGTGTTTTTCTCCATTCATCACAACATTGTGTTAAGCCCCACCTTTGTTTGTGTTGAATATGAACTTTTATTTCCTAACCTCAATCCCGTTGCCACTATGACGGTCAAAGGTCAAATCCACCGAAATTCTCAGTGTGTGAATTTTGAGTCCAGCAATCATCACACTGATTAAGTAACTAAGTTAACTAAGTCCCCTAACTTCATGGAAGTGCAGAACTAAATCACTGGAGTACTCTCTTATTGCATTATGTTCTTTCTTTCTCTCGACATCAACTTTTGCTATGTTATCTTTAACCAGGAGGAGGCAGAAATATCCAGTTTGTTGCTGAAAATCCCCACCCTTTTGATAGTCTCCACTCCTTCTATCATGTTTCATCCTCTAATAAGAGGCACCTCCTCTTATTAGCCGATATCTCTCTCTCTCTCTCTCTCTCTCTCTCTCTCTCTCTCTCTCTCTCTCTCTCTCTCTCTGTATTCCTCTCTTTCTCTGGGGATATCTATCCTAAGTGCCTTCTACAGTAAATCAAACCGCAAGGCTTTCATTCAGCCAAAGCTGAGGGAGAGTGGTTACAACTGGCCTGTCTGATACATAGAAATGCTTTATCAGGGGAAGAGATTGAGAGCAAGACAGTCAGATAAACAGAGAGAGAGAGTGAATTGTAATTATTTCCATAGAGATGAGAAGTGTGGAAGAGTGAAGAGAGAGGGGCAGCAGAAGAGGTAATGGTTGATGAATTGATGATCAGTCCAAACAGGGAGGGAATGGTGTAAATAAGAGATGGAGGACAGAGTTGTGGGTTAAGAAGAGCTAATCACTTAAAAGCCTTAACGCAGGAAGTACATAATCAGCATCCAGGCATCCGTTAATAGGAGGGCATGAAATACTCCTTCCAGACTGAATCAAAGAGTGAGGAAAAACTTGGAAAAACTAGCGACTTCTTCTGTCCACCACCAAGCAAGAGTACTTCTTAAACGACGCATCGATGAATCGTTGAAATAATCTATAGAAGCATCGAATACTAAAATCATCGTATGCTGCAGCCCTAATATGAATACTAATGAAAACATGTTGACAACATTAGAGTGACCATTTTGAATTTGCAGACCTAGTTAAGGACTTGAATTAGGGCCGGGTGTTATGGCCAAAAATGTTATCACAATAAAAACATTTAATATCATTCAATATCGATTATTATCACGATATGTAAAATAATTATTTCTTTCAATTTTAAAGGCTGATTTTTGTTCCTGAGTAAAAATTTAAGAAACCAGATGGATATATTGAACATTTAATAAATTGTTTTTGAGGAAAATTATATTGTGCTAATTATCATTGTTTTATTGCCCAGCCCTAACTTGAATTATTGGCAGGTACCTGGTACTTACAATTGACCAATAATATCTACTAAGAATTTATTGTTCTGTATTTATGATTTTCACTGCTGTCAGTTGAACAAAGTCCAGTGGCAACTCTGTGTGTCCGAAGAGGCACGTGGTGGTCTTCCTCCTAACAAGGGGTTCATGTGACAGAGACTGAGTTACTCCTTGAGAATTAGCAACGACTAAACAGTAATGATATACTGTTATACGTGCTGTAATGTGTGAGGTTTAGGTTTTATCCTTATAGCTCATTAGTAACTAACGTATCTCCAACAAAGTGTTGTAACTGTCAACTGTATTTGCTTTATTTGCTTTAGCCATGCCAGCAGCTTTGGTCCAGACGGAAAGATCTATTATTATTATATCTATTAATAATATAATAATAATAATAATAATAATAGTATAGTAACTACTGGATGGATTGCAAATTGAGTACAGACATTAACGGTTCCCAGACAGTGAATCTAACTGACTTTTCCTCATGTGCGGCAATGAGGTTGACATTTATATTTTTTTAGTTCTAAGCGACTATTGAATGAATTGCTGTGAAATTAGCTAAAATATTCATGTCCCCCTCAGGATGAATTGTAATAACATTTCATCTAGCGCCATCATCAGGTCCAATACTTTGTTGACCAAATACCTGCAAAACTGACATTCTCATCTGCCTCAGCTGTTACTAATATGGTGAACATGGTAAACATTGTATCTACTTAACATCCTCTTATTAGTCTTATTGTGCTAAGCCTCACTGACCTACTAGCATGGTTGTAGACTATATAAATATTGTTTCATGGGGTGTCTGGTGGCTTATTAATGTGTCCCTGGTTCAGTTCTAACCAGGGACCTTTGCATCTCCCCTGATCTCACCCTACATTTCCTTTCTAGATCTCTACTCTCTCTGTCAAATAAAGGCAAAAAATTATTCAAAAAAGTGTTTAATTTGCCTTATATTACTATATGTCAAAATGATTTCCCATCATTTGATGTTTCTCCTCTGTTTTCTTACTCAGGTCCTATAAGAGCAGCTCGGGAGTGAATAACCGAAGGACTGAGCTCTTCCTGAAGGAACATGAACATCTCAGAAAGTAAGAGGTTTCTTAAAGTACTTATTACTAATGGCAATGGCCACATCTGAAATCCCTGACTATTTACTGTATTCTTTACTGTATGCCATTTTATCTGAATGTTCGAATTGTGAGTGAAGTTTATGCTCTATGACGTAGTGCCCTCAAATATTTCTACAATGGAATTAACAAAGGAGTGTCTGTAGCATGTGCACTACTTTCAGTCACGGCACCTAGACTATGTAGATTTAGTTCCAAAGTTGTTGAGGAAAATGTTGGGTTACTAGTTTAAGGTGTTTAGTCTGTTGTGAAACGTGACTTTATGCGCTAGTGTTTGTGAATGGTTGTGTGTACATGCACATATGCATGTGGTGAGTGGTTTATTGGACATGTTGTTAATCACATTTCCTTGTGGCTGATTAATATTTCTCTGCTAGCATTTTCTCGTGATTAGACTCAGAGGAAGAACGTGACAGACGCTAGCAGCAACATGTTTTCAATGAGTTGTGGACCAGGTTAGCAGTTTGTTCATCAGAACGAAAAGAGGATCAGCTCGGGGCATCTTTAGTCTTTAGGTCGCTAGTAAGGTATTTGGCCACCACAAGCCTCAAGAACAACTCTGAAGTCTGTAAGCTCTACTGCAGGGATGGACTCTACAATCTGTACCTGCATATGATTCATTGGTGTTTCGATGATGGTGGTGTAGAGTGCTTTCTTAACTCTTGCATAGATGTGTAGTTAGGTGTGTCCGCACCTGGTGGGACGTTCGGATCCTTTATCACCATTGATGAACTTCCACAAAGAATATTATATCGTTTTTAAACAGTACCGCAACGTGCATGTACAGTTAGTTGTCAGGCACGTGTCCACACAAAACTCTGCACAAGACCGGTGAATGGCAGGCGAGCAGAGAGAAAAGGGTCTACTAATTAATTAAATACTATGTTGTGAAGCTCTCCAAAATACTTCAATAAAGATAATAAAACATTAAGCTCAAACGTAGTTTGTAGTGAGATAATAGAAGGCACTCAGAGAAATTTGTAAAGAATTCTCTCAGGGATTTCTTGAGAGAAAGACATGAAGAAACAGTTATAATAAGCCTACAAACATAAAACATGTACTTAAGCACAGCCAAACAAAAATCTTTACAGTGGTTAATGTTAACATTGTTCCCTGCACCAAAGTCTCCTGTTGTTTCATTTTCAATATTTCTTTCAACTCCTTTTCCTCCTATTGATTTACAAAGAAAAATAGATTGAATAAAATCAGATAAACTGTTAATATTAGGATTTGTTGTGTACACATTGTAGTCGCTTACATCAGTCAGAAATCAGCGGTGTCCTCTTAGCACCTTCCCAGCCATATAAGATACAAGACTCACCGCTCACATTGCAATTGTTCCCTACACCAATGTCCGCTGGTGGTCCGCTGGTGTGTAACTGTCATGTTACGTATGTTTCTCATGCAGATTTTGACTCCTTCTCCTCCTGTTAAAATACAGAATAATAAATAAAACAAGATTTTAACTTTTGAACATGAATAAAAAAGACTGTGTTCATACTGGCATTAGCACTGAAAAAAAAAAAAAACTGGCACCTGGCGCTCACGAGACAGAGCTATAATGTTGGCCAGTTCAGTACTAACTTACTGCAAAACTGGTTATGTTGTAAGTGTAACTCGTTACTTTCAATATCAGAAAGTGGTTGTATATCACAAACCAGGGTACAATGTTTTGGTTTAACATTTATTGGATCCAGCACCCACCCAGCAGTTACTTAAGTTGCCATTGTCTACTTTGACCTCCTGGTCAAATACAATGAAGTGGAGATAAAAAGGAAGCAATCACATAAACTGTTGATCTGACTGATATCTTTAGTGCACAGATTATAATCTTATTACATGGTGTAATGAATCTGAAATCATGAAGGTGCCTATTTGTTGTTAACTTCCTGACAATATGGCACAAAGTACACGCCACTCATTACAGGTGTTCATTGCACCAATGTATCCTACATTGTCTCCAAGTTAGTTATGTTGCCAATACTGACTGCTTTTCCTCCTGTTAAACATAAAAATAACTTAATCTCACTGCACAGATGCTAATCTCATTACTATTTTCAATTACACTTTTACATTCATCTGATGAATGACATTTTTGGTATATTTGAAAATTGGAAGTCATGAATTTAACATTTGAGAATACTTGTATTTACATCTGATACGATGTGTAAATCTATGACTTCTTACCTCAGCTGATGTTAACATGATTCCCTCAACCAATGGTTCCTGAGTTCTCACTGACTTTAACATTAGTTGTGTTGCTAACACGTGTATGAACTCCCAGTCCTCCTGTTGGAATATAAGGATTGAGAAAAGGAATAAAAAGTTAGCCACAGAAACTTAAATTTTTGCCATAAAGATGCTGATATCTGAACATGAGTAATAAAATAAACTGTTTTTACTATCCCAGCAATACATGAAATAAATCACCTTCTATTTTATAGCTGTTCTCTGCCCCGATGCATCCCTTTTTGATATTCTTTCCTTTAACGTTGATGCTGGTGGTGTTACCCAGAGCAGAATTGTGTCCAAGACCTCCTGTAAGAGTCACATGAAACAGCAATTTAATGAAACTGTCAACAACCTGACATAAAAGTATAGTAACACTCAAATTTACCTTTAACGTCAATTGTCAGCTCCAACCTAATTGTTCCAAGTACACCATTTCCTAAACTAAATCAGATACATAGTTATGTTGCCATGGGTCTAGCAAAACACAAAGACAAGAACCACATGCCCATAAATAAATATCAATCAAGTACGTATCTGTTATGGTGTGGACAGAGTGGACCCAAACGCAACACTCAGGATGAACAGGTTTTATCAAGGAAAAGAGGGGTTGAGGGAGTGGAGGTGATGGAGAGGCAGATGCCGGGGAAACACGGGCACGGGGAACCGAGGACACTGAGACAAGGGAGCCGGGGGGCACTGGGGACCGAAGAGAGGAGGCCGGGGAGAACTGACTAGGTGGGTTGGGGGTTTGGTGGAGGACTGTGGTGGCAGGCTGACTGGCTAGGCATGGGGAAGAGCCACGAGGACGCCGTGGAGGAGGTCCAACAGGAGAGGGCAGGGTGGCGAGCCTAGCTGACACAACGACAGACAGACACGGGGAATACCAAGAACAGGGAAACAAAGATGATGCAGGTTACGCAAGAGCTTGAGTGAAGAAGTGGCGCCAGGTTTGGATCAACGACGATCAAGCAGAGATTGTGTGGAGAACCGGTCTGATGAGGTGCAGGTGCGGACTGTCAGCTGTGCTCAGGAGCAGAGAGAGAGGGAGAGCACACGCAGGGGGAGAGGAGGAGACACAAACAGGCAGGCCAAAACACGAGGGGAAAACAGAATCACGAGAAAGAAACAGGACACTCACCGTCAGCTGGGCTGCCACCACAACACGTATCTGTTCAAAGAAATTGCACTATTCCTGTGCCTCGCATGCTAATCAAGCCACTGTTTTGATTTTTGAACTAATTTAACGGGTTTATCACAGATCAGATCTAATATTAAGTATATCTTTTCAGCCAGTACTGTTAAGCAGCTCTCTCTGTATATTTTATCGACCTAATATTTTCTAAATCTGCTTGTTTATTTAAGTGATTTCATGGAAGACCCTGATGTTCATTTGGCATGTTTAATATGAATTACTGACAATTTCAGACTTAATACTTTTTTTACTGAAACCACCAAAACTCACAAGTCTCAGTTCTGAAATTAGCGACTGTCTGACCTGAAGCTTCACTTTCAGTTTTAACTCTTAGCAGGAACTAAAACTTGTGAGTCAGCAATGTGGTGGCTGGGAGCAGCATAGACATAAAATCATATTTTTGGGAAGAAACAAAAAGGATTTTCTTTTCTTTGTTTTAAATAATTATTTTCTTGCCTTTAGAGTCACCAACATCAACTCACAGCTGGCAAATTTAGGATTCAAGCTCCATATTAAAGTCACTTTTGTTGAGGCCATTGTTTTCTAACAAGGGTTTTCTAACTGAAGTTTTTTGTTCCTTTTATATTGCTGTTGTTAAAATGTCTCTGAAAGTAAGTCATCTTGAAGTTGGCTCAGAGTTCCTTTCGATTCTTCACACAGTGTGAATTTTAGTACTACAGAGTCTTACTCTACCTCTTAAGCTTCTTTTTGAAATGTTGAACTTGTCCTCTTGTCAGTAGCATCAGAGCATCAATCGTATCTCTGTCCATAGTTTGGGACATAGCCCCACCTTGCTGCTACACTCTCATAATATACCAATTCACTAGTCAGATAGTCAGACTGGAATGCCATTTACTTTAAAATGTTTGTATATTTCTGTTTAAATCACTGTAATATTTATAGATGCAGGCAGTGATTTAGAGGTGTCAAACCCACCTCGTCAAATTTCTGAATGGAGACTGTTGCAATTTGGACTACTCGAACAAGTGTTCACACACAACGCAACAATGCAAATAAACACAACCATTTGACCAACCATTACTACAGTTCAGATTGATGATTTAGTTGCAATAAACGGATCAAACTGATGCCAAGACAACTACACCATTATGCCGATTTGTTAAAAATGCTAAGTCATGTTTTTCAGGTCTGTCAGCAAGATTACAAGCTTACAAAATGCTTGTTTTCTGAATGGAGTTCACATTGATCAGGGCTATGCTAACTTATTTCATGGTAAAGTACAACAATAGCTGGAATCAAGGACATCACTAGGATTGAAAGACAGGGAGGGCTTAGCTCCCGGGTATCTGTAACTTGTGCTTGCAAAAACTTCTCACATCTTTTGTTACTGTATGAGAACTACACTTATGTCAACAAACAGTAAAGAAGTGAAGATGTTAAGTAAACAGGGACAGACATATTCTCTTCTTCCATTTCTCCTCTGTTGAACAAAAGGGTAGCTTCAGCCCCCCTGCAATGGGCCTAACGACATCCATGGCTGGAATCAAGTAACAGACACACATTTTCAAAACTTACCCGGTAGTTCAACTCACTTACTGTTCTCTCTCCTGTTTTGCCCAGTCTGTATAAATATGAGGTAGTCCAACAGAGATCTGGCAGCTACAATAACAACAAGGGGGCCAGAAACACGGCAGTTTGCTGCTGAGAAGCGGGGGTGACAATAAATCAACGTTTTAATCCACCCCCACCAAAACAAACAAGTAAAAAGTTAATTTCGTAAAAGCATTTAACTCTGATCCGCCATCTGGGTAACGGCCCGGTTATCAGAGCAGATTCCAGTCTGACTGTGGGTGTTTGCGCACTTTGCATCGCCTCCAGTACGCCACCCTGCAGGAAATCGTGTGCCTCTGCTTCTTTACAATGACTTTGAATGTTATTGTGCCGCCCCCAGCGTTGGCATCGCGTTGTGTGGGAAATCAATATAGAGGGGCCGTATATATTGTGGTTGCTTTACAGTATATCCTAATTAAACAGAAGTATTTCAGTTGGTGATCATATTTACTATATTTTGAATAATATATCTTCCTCATGTTCCCGGTGCTCAGCTTAAAATGAAGAGAAAACGTGATGCGTTTCCTATTGCGTTGTTAGATATTTCCATAACATAATTTTTAGCCAAGTGGTTTACGATCCGTTGGAGAGCAATTTCCTAAGAGAGAAAAAAGGGAGAGCAAGATGAGATTCACATAAAATATTAACACACACTAACATGTTAAATGCACACATTTAATAGTGTGTGATCTTCCGTCTTACCTCAGCTAATGTTAATGCCGTTCCCATATCCAATAGATCCTGAGTTCTTATCAAGTGTAACATTACTGACGTTGCCAATATTGGACTTGGCTGCAATTTGCCCTGTTACCAGAAACCAGGAATGTGAGAGATCAAAAGCAGTTAATGAGTAATGAATCAAAATAAACCACCTCTTTTAGCATGTTCCCAGTGTATGAGAAAGATAACAAGCTGTCACAGTGTAGTTGACCTCTCATCAATACATCCTGGGTTTGTTTTTAAAAAACATAAATGTTGCTGATGTTACCCAGAGAGACAGTTGCTCCATTATCACCTGTAGAGAAGTAGACATTTAAGGGGACAATGTAGGGATGGACAATAAAACAATAACAATAATTATTGTGATATTGTCCTCAATAACAATATAAATGTTTAATAAATATTCAATATATGTTTGATTTTTTTTCATTTGGATCAAACAAACTAATTTTTCTATTAAGATATTTATTTTTATTAAAGAAAAGGGACTGAAAAAGAGTTTAATTTTACTCATACATATTTGTTGAAAAAAAATTTTTCATACTGTTTTGAAAGATTTGTTAAGTGATCCACTGTTTGGCATCAAGTGTTTGTCATGTTCTGACCATAAAGAAAAGTTTAAATCCACAATTAACCATCTGGTTTCTTCAACTTTTAATCAGGAGCAAAATCAGCCTTTAAACTTTAAAGAAATAATGATTTGACATTTAATGTGATAATTATCGATATCGAATGATATGAAATTTTTTATTGTGATAACATTTTTGGCCATATTGCCCAGCCCTAGGATAATGTCATAAAAATGTCCAGATGATCCCACAGAAAGCTACACTTTAGACACTCAGATAAACATGCTGTGGAAAGTCTCTCTCAGTGTGCAGGAGTTAAATTTACTTTAACATGGTACTCATTCTCAGCAACTATCTTCCCTTCACTGCAACAGATGGAGATGTTTTTATTGTCCCCAGTGTTGTGAGATGTTGGTCGAGCTAAAGTGTAGACAGATGTAACTGAAAAGATGAAGAAAAGTGATGACAGAAAAAATGTTGCGCTGTTAAACCCCATGCTAACACTTTGCATATGTGACACACTTGTCACTGTCTGGTTGTAACGTTTCTTATGTGGGATGATTCTGCATGATCACATCTGGGACACAGCATCAGTTCAATACGTAACATGTCAATATAAAACAACACAAAAACACATGAAGGCAGTGCAGCTGGCCCAGACATGAAGCAGAGTTAGAGACGGACACATGTAGAGTCTGATTGACCTGTTCTGTGAGGTCTATCTGAAGAAACAGCGCTGTGCTTTCTCAGGTGTACAGGTCTTATCATGTATTTCAAAGAATGGTTTATTGTTTCATATTACGCCCTCATTTCCACAGAATCTTAACTGGGAGAGAGTGATTGTGAACTGTAACATTACTGACTTATCTAATATTGGACTTGGCTGTGATTTGTCCTGTTAAAATACCAGGAATGTGAGTGAATGAAAGCAAGTTATTCACACTCAAATATGTGCTGTACATCATTTGTACATAAAATAAACCATATGAGAAAGACAACACAGCCTTGTACCTAAACAACATATACAACCATTGGAAAAAATGACATAGACTATTGTTTAAAAGTTTGGGGATACTTAGAAAATTCCTTGTTTTCAAAAGAAAAGCATAGTTTATGTCCATTAAAATAACGTCAAATTGATCAGAAATACAGTGTAGACATTGTTAATAAAGGACTATTGCTGCTGCAAAAGGCTGATTTATAATGGAATATCTCCAGAGGTGTACAGAGGCCTAATTTCAGCAACCATTAGCTCTGTGTTCCAACAGCACAATGTGTTTGCTAATCCAAGTTTATCATTTTAAAAGGCTAATTCATCATTAGAACACCCTTTTGCAATCATGGTAGCACAGCTTAGAAACTGTTGTGCTGATTAAAAAAGCAATATAACTGGCCTTCTTTAGAGTAGTTGAGTATCTGGAGCATCAGCAATTGTAGGTTCCAGGCAAAAAAAAAAGCAGTTAAAATGGCTGTGCTTGTACTCCGTTTACTTTGTCAGCTCATGAAGTCCATTAAAACGTGTGTGACAGTGATCACACGGTAATAAGTTCTAAATTATTTATGTACAAGACGCCTTCTTTTTGTCCTGTCTCTACCTGTTGATCATTATTCATAACATGTAGTCTATTTGGAGTCTAATAATACCAATGTGGGATTTTTAAGTCTGATACCGATTTTAATATTTGAGGATTTTTTATATCCGATATTCCGATACATCGCCCGATATTTTTTCAGAAACACATAGGGCTGAACCATTAATCGTCAGCAGTAAGTTATGTTTTATAATGTCTCCGAAAAGACACAGAACTCGTAATTTTTATTGATTTTTCCATCTGTGTTCCTTTTTCAAGGCAGCAGGTGCGCTGAATACCAGCCTGATAATTACGTAGCTATTCAGTGTCATCGTCCATCCTGTTGTGTTTCATTGTTGACATTGTCCGATGCCAATTTTGTAGACACCCAACCCTAATTTGAATACATTTATTTACTCTGCAAGTAATTTTGTTACTGAATTTCCTTTGTACGTTTATTTTTTTTTGATGTCGTGATATAGGTCTTTATTTCATTCATAGTGGTCTTAAAAAGGTCTTAAAAAGTCTTAAATTTGACTTGGTGAAACCTGCAGAAACCCTGACTACTGATCATTGTGAATTTTAGTGTGGTTTATCAACAAACCATGACCGTTTCATCCCTATGTAGGTGTAACTATGTCGGTGTTATTGACATTCTTATTTGTATTTAGAACAAGTTTTATTGATTTAGCTTATGAGATAAGATTGAGAGGATTGATGAGAGGATTGTTTGCAATATGCTGAGATTTTGTTATTTAGTTTTATCACATGCCTTTTATTGTAACCATATTCTTCAAAGCTTCTCTTAGTGGTACTTTCTGTTGTTGGTGGCCTGACTCACGTTTTCTGTTTAAAGTGAAGGAATTTGTGTGTAAAATTATTTGAGTGTTGTTAGTTTTGTAATTGTTTGTGTGACTATGTGTTTTTTGTGTTGTGGCAGAACATTACTTGTAAAGCTTTATAGTTAATGCAGCTGTACAGTTTTAAAAAAAACAATACAAAGAGACTTAATAGTGCGCCGTCATTTGCTCTCCATCCAGCCGACTGCCATCCACAGACAGGGAGACATCTATAGCACATGAAACTTATTTTATAACTTTTATAACTGAACAGTTGCAGTAATGTCACCATCAAGCCAATCCGGGCCCTTACAAACCAGGTTTAAATGGAGGAGTTTGACATAGAAAGACAGTAGCAAGTAAAGAAAGAAAAAATAACCAACAAAAAGGAGCAAGAAGGTCCCTCGCCTGTGGACTCTGCCAGCGAAGGAAGAGTAAAGAGAAAAGGCAGAAGACAGCAGTATATAGATGGCGGGAGAGTTGGACGTATAGACGGAGGGAGTATAAAGCGCAGTATTGATTTTTGGTCTCCAGTGGAGTCAGCCATGATGCACACTGCTGCCTTTATCAGTATCTTATCTCAGCAGCTAATGGCAGCTGATATAAACCTCGTCTGTGCATGTTCAGGCTCATTATCGCCCATATTTGTGTCTTATCTGTGTGTTCAGAGGATTTAAATTATAGAGATTAATTGTCTTCTGCTACTGTGGGGGTTGGCTTGACCAATTAGATCCCAAAAATCCTCCATTAACCAGCACTTTCTCTCCTGTCTCGCAGGATTTACAGGAAGTGTTCCTTTTATGATAACAGACCAAAGAGCTGTGGTTTCCCTGTGTACTGTAGTATAATTTCATGACTCCTAAGCATCTTAAGCCAGGAGAAATAGTGTTAATAAAGTGCTAATAAATGTGTTTTAATTGACATGATCTGACTTCTCTTTTCTCTCTTTCTGTTTCATGTTCACAGCTCAGATAGTCTTATTGACAGTGCAATAAGGTAAGCTTTATTGCCGCGTTCACTCTCCTTCCGTCTCCTTTTACTCTCATGCACTCAACACACACACACACACACACACACACATCAGAAGCAAACACAGCACATTCAGGTCTGTTATAACAGACCATACCTCCCTACTTTTTGGCTCCTCAGCCGAAACAGAAACCAACTTAATGTGATGCTGTGAAGACTGCTATATGCATCTTTTCCTGCCACTCATCCCTCATGGTTTCTTTCTCTCCAGCATCGCCATGGCTACCAAAGAGAACATCACATTTCAGCGTGGGATGTTGAAGTCGATTCAAACCAGGGTCACAACTCTGGCCAGTATCCTTTGTACCGTTTGAATCATGTGTCCTCCTTTTCTGTCCACCTGACCTTCTTTTACGTGTGCAGTACATTTTCACAAGTTTGTTTCATTTTACATATTGAAATAAAGCAGGAATAACACAACCTCACTTACAGTGAAAGATGGTATGGCACAGTAGGCTACCCCATTAGGCTCCATTTATTATTTTTCCTGCTATCATTAGGAGCCCTGCTGATGTATTTTCCTTGCTGCTTTCAGTCTCTTAGTCACTGTAAGGCAGGAAAACCCTTCTTAATTATTTTCCTTCACCACACTTTCCCCGCCCCTTAGATCGTTTCCCCGCCATCAACAGTCTCATCCAGAAAATCAATCTGCGCAAGAGGCGGGACTCTTTAATTCTAGGCGGCGTGATTGGCGTCTGCACCATACTCCTGATGCTCTACACTTTCCACTGATGGTCAACTGACTGTTAAAAAATATTCATTGTATCTCAGACCAAGTGTTTATTTTATTTTTTGTTTTCTATGTTATATTGTAATTTCCCTTTCTTTACGGTTTCAAGAATTAAGAAAGGATTTTATTCTGAAAAGACATTTATATCACATTAAGTCTTAATTGAAAGTAAAAGGGTTTGAACTCAGATTAGAGAGCTTATTTATTTTCTGAATTATGATCACATTTCCATCTTGCTGCTTCTATACTGTTCTAATTTTAACACTTAATAAATGTATGAAGTAGTATTTTACTGGGATTGTGTACTGTTGTTGTCATACTTCTTTATATAGCCTAACGGCTCTGCCTAATAAAATAAAGGTGGTGAGCTGGATTATCATGCTCATTCAAGTTTATTTCAGACATGCAGAACTATGGCACAGTAAACCAGTCATACAGTATAAACGTATAAACATCAACATCAGAGTGCCAAGAACAGTGCATACAGGGAGAACGAACCCATTCATATCTTGTTAGTATATCGTAAACGTAATGAAGTGCGGAGATCCAGGCAGTTCTGTAGAATCTGTGCAACACGCAAAGCAGGATATCACACTATGACTGCAGCAGGGCGTTGTTGTGATGCACGTACATGAGTTTTAAACGTGATGTAAACAGTGTATGAAATCGGTTTATACATCTTCCCACAGACACAAAAGTCCCGTGCCGATAGAACAGAAAGAAGCGCCAGTCCGTACTTTGTTGCAAATGTAAAGAGAATTACAGAGAGGTGCACTGATGTCTTTTTGTTTTTGTCTGAACACAATTAGTCTTCACACATACAAATCTTATTTTGTGTTTGTTTTTTGATAATGATGGTATGTGTCTTTAGTCTTTAGGACATCCTCTTACCTAATGCCTCTAGTCTAATGCATGTGATTTTTTTAAATAAGCAAAATGTAGTTCCATATCGATTGTCTTGTGTGTCAGGCAGGTGTGGACCTCAGTGCACTGCTCATTTGGACTATGAGGAGTTTTACAGTTTCTCCACAGAGTGTGCTGTCTGATGATCCGACACTAGGACTGTGTGCAGCTGTCACTTTACTTTCTTTGTTCCTGAGTTTCTGTGGGGTTACTGGGCGTGAGCGTTACCAGAAAAAAAGAGAAACAACCTGCAACTTTCCCCCCCTTTTTTCTTTCTCTCGCCCATAGTAGACACAGCAGGAAGTTTTCGCCATGTCTTCAACTCAGATTGTGTGCTTTTTCTTTTTCAGAATATTTTCCTACTCCTCTCTCTTCTGTGCAAATGTGAGATCAGATGAAGTTTAAAGGAGATTCCTTCCATCCCTCAGTTCACTGCTGGGACTCTGACAGAGAAAAGAGAAATTAACATTAGCAGCTTTGAAATGATACTTCTGAGGGTGTGTGGTTGTTTTATATTTTGCTATCATACCTATTGTTAAAACTATGAAGATGATGATAGCCACACCCAGCAGCATTGCCAGACAGCTGAGCAGCATAGACAGGCGCCCATACTTCCTCGCTCCTTCAATATCTCCTGTATGGAGAACAGACCTCGACTAATGGGGAAAGGAAGGGGCAGAGAGGGCATTAACAATGAATTATTTAAATGCAGCATAAAAGCAAAACACTTGTTTGAAAATACTCAGATTACAAGAATGTACCTGAGCAACTGAAGCACAGACAGATGATAATAATAATAATCATCCACGTTGTGTTAAAGAAAAACAAGAAAAGAAAACTCAAGATGTAAATAAAAGATGTAAATAAATGTAACACTCACCACATTTGCATACCACAAGGCACATATGTTGAGCGGCACGGCGGGGCAGAAACAGGACAGCACAGCGAGCCAGAGGTAATTCGGGGGTAAGGAACCGGGCGGCACCGGGGAGGGCAGCGGACCCAGGCTGAGCCGGGACAAGGACTTGGGTGTGGCCGCCAGCTGCCCGATGGAACCCGACTTCAGCGGTGATCTGTGTCCGTTCTGGTCCGAGTCCAGGGACCGGACGCTCCCTCTGATGTTGAGGGAGAAGGAGTCGGACGGCTTGATGTTGCTCTGCCCGCTGGGCTCGGTGGTCGCGGTGCTCAGCAGCTTCTGCGTGTCATGGAAATCGCTGGGATTGGAAACTTCCCTCTCGCCGAGGGCGCTTTTCCCAAAGGCAGTGTCAGTGTTGATAGCCATCACTGAAAGATAAGAAACCTCCAAGTCTTATTCTCTGTCTGACCGAGCCGCTTTCCTGTGGACGGAGATGCTGAAAAGTCTTCCTTCAGATGTTCTCCATTGGGGGTCATTGGATATTATAAATTCAGAAAGCCTAATAACTTCAAGGCAACCTATTTAATTAAGCAGTCTAACTCCATCAAAATTTCTTATTGATGAGCGAGATGTTATTGATGTCTGAGTCCCTCTTGCGTTTAGTTGGCGGGGAGCGTCCGGACGCACGACTTGTATTTTACCCCCCCCTCCCCTTCTCTATAATGTAGTGAGGTATTACCGCATCCCTTACATCTCCACAGCGCATCCCCAGTGTCTGAAGTCCTACTTGTGCACCAGGCGAGGCGTGTGACATTGCAAAAACAACAATTAAACCTCTTCTTAAGTGAACAGGCGCGGTGCGTAAAATGCTTTCCATTTAGTGCGGCGGCATCAGCAGGATCAGCACGTGGGACACCGCACAGCAGGTGTGAGGGAGGGAGAGAGAGAGTAAAGGCGGACACTATGAACTCCAGACTCTCAACACAAGCACGCCGTGCTGACTCAAGACCTCATGTAAAGTCATTCGGACATATAACAGCGTTTAACAGAACCTCACTGTCTGTCTCAGGTATTCAAGCTTTACAAGGTGTCTAAATCTTGCTTTTCCTGCCTATTTATAAAAATGGCTATGCATTGGTTAATTGAAATTTGACCAATAATGCAAGAAAATATAGCCTACTGTTGGGTGTTGAATCTATAACAGAACGTCATTCTTTATAAACTCATATGTTTTGTTACTCTGTAAAGTAACTAAATGTAACGGGTTAAAATTACAATATGTCCATCTTAAATGTAGAGGAGCAAAGTAGCATAAAAAGAAAATGATCAAGTAAAGTATAAGTAGGCTACCTCAGATTTGTACTTCGAGTAGGCTAAATAAACGTAGTTACATTCCACCGCTGAAAAAATATCTAAAGGTTATAAGTAGTTAAAAGTAGATCCACCTGTAGTTAGGCTACAGTTAATGCATTCATAATAAATAGGTCTATGCCTACTTCATTTTGCTGATAATACTTAGGTATTTTGACTTAAGTAGGCTACAATAAAATCTGAAAACTCATTCTACTGTCTGTAAGATACATTTCAACATGTGTTTTTTTTTATATACAGTCTATGGGTTTCACTGTAGTCCATGTTTGTGTTTTGGTCAGTAAAGATTTGTTTATGATTGTGGCACATGTCCAGGATGATTAAATAACGATTCATATTAATAAAAGTGGGCTGTAGGATCAGTGAACTGCTGTGAAGACCTCAAACACCCTCAGTCTCACTGAATGAATCAGGACACTTGTTGAGAGTTAAATTAGCACACCAAATAAGTATTATATTTTATTATATTGAATACTAAATGTATTATATTGTTTATTATTACTACATAATTTACATTCTATATTGCTGTACTTTACGACTCCATTTCACGTTTATACTATAGGCCTATATTTTACATCCAATATAGCCTATTGTACTGTATATTGCATATTGCATATGCTATGTTGGTATGTGATACTGTTCTATTACAGATTGTACCACATCATGTTTCAACTAATAGCCTACAGACAAAAACTACTTATCATAGACTATAGTATTCTGTAGTAGATGGTATCATATTACTCTTACACGTACTGTACTTTGCTGCTACTAACCACCGCTCCCTGAAGCCTTTGCCCATGTTTTATCCTCAGTTTTGCAGATTATCCCGCCATCTAGTGGCAAGAATCTGAAGTTGTCGGTTTAGTTTCACCTCCTCATTCCTTAATTTACAGACATTGTAACTTCCTAATCAGGTAAAATAATATTCATTCTACTATCTATTACGTTTTTACAATTTTAATTGTGCAAACAAACTCAGTAAGGTAAAATGCTGAAAGCACTGTTTATGTCAGGAGGACCACTCAGAAAGGAACTTGATTTTGCCAAATATGATGATCAGGCCATTTTATAAATTGATTGACTTAAGAACCTTAAATGTTTTCCTTATTAAACCAGTTCCATTTACAGTAGATACTATTTAACCTGCTGCCGAAGCCAAATAAACTAACTAAGAAGCATTGCCATGAATACTGGTAAGTTCTAAACATTATTTTACATTCAGTTATCTTGATACCTCTAGCACTTTGATAATCTTGATCATGCTGTGAAAGTTAGTCATTTGAAAGAATCCCTTGAAATGATGCTTTCAGGTCCTGAAGAACAGTTATGTTTTTTTTCCCTCCCTCTGGTTTCACATTACATATGTAACAACAATCTAAGTGGATTTATTCTTTTGTAAATGTCAGTTTTTTTCTTTGTTAAAGTGGTGACTAGAACTAAAACCATGAAGTTATTGCATATCTGAGTCCGTTTGACTTTGAAAGAGCATCTTAACTCACGCTGATCTTTGTTTCCCCCTTAATGGGATCACCAGAGACTCAGAAGTTTTGCATATAGCTATTGTGTCCCTCTTTGTGTGTGTGTGTGTGTGTTTAATTTTTGGGATGAGAGAGCCTTCAGTGCTGGGATGCGTTTTATTTACTATATAGCATGCAGTTTTGTCCACAAAAATAAGTCTGATAAACTATTTTGTTCTTTATTGTAAGAAGAAAGAAAAGACACATCACAGACAACATTTAAGTGTTTTTTGTGAGGAAATAAACACGCTTACATTGAAATATACCTTACATGTGATTAACAACAGAATATAAACAACGGTGGCTCAAATCTTGCAGAAGTCCAGGCCGACTACCGAGCGTGTGAAACACCGCCTTCCTCAGTCCTCTTCCAACCCCACCCCCACCCCCTTCCTCTTCTAGAGTCATCCGGGGCAGGGCTGACCAGAGCAGTTCTTCAGCTGGCAGCTTTAGCATGTGTACAGGAACATAAAGCTTGCCAGTGAAGAACTGCTGTGTGTCAGCCATCTGGGGTCCAAGGGTGAGAGAGTGCTGGGAGTCAGCCAGCGAGCGTGAGAGTTCGAACCAGACAGCCTGGAGTGAAGGACAGCCCCCGCTTTAAAGGCACAAATGGTGACTCCTCCTCCTACTTCTTCCTTTCGTTTGCTTTAGGTGCAGTCATTCCTGCAGAGAGAGAAGAGATGGTTTAACTTCCCCCCTCTCAAAACGCCCTGCTCCAATGTCCCGCATGGGTAAGAGGTGGGCTGCGGCCAGTCACACACGTATAGTAAGTGGGCGCAGTCGAGCCACAGTGTGTGAAATCAGCTGTGAGTAAGTGAGGGAAATGAGCCGATACGTAACAATGAAAGAGAGAAGCACAAAAGATCATGCATCAGATCACCAGGAGGGATACATGCATCAGCAGCTCCGCTCTGCCTCTGCACGTTATACTGTGCCAGCAAGAAATTCTTAAGATATTTTCTTAGTTTTGATGCTCAAAATCAGACTGGCCTCTGGAAAAAGCACTCTTTTTTTTTGGTCAGTTACCGTGGTTACGGAGCCTGAAAGAGAGGCGATGAAGAGGAGTAGATGGCCTCAACATGAAAGCAGAGATCTTGGAATCCTTTCAGAAGTCCAAAGAACTCTTCTGTTTTTGAAGTCTTAATTAATAAAGTGTATGTTCAGGTGTTTTCCAGAGAGGAAACCTGCAGCTACATCTGATCCATGTCCTCTACATTTTGTATAAGTTGTATTTAAGTTTGCATGTGAAAAAGTAGAGTAGCTGGTAGAATAGAGGAGCTAGTTTACTTAATATAGCAGCTTAATCTGGATATAAGAGTGTGTTCAGTTTAAAACTGACTTGTTCACACAGATAAGGTAAATATAGACAAGGTTACTTGTGTCTAAATTAAAGCCACTATAGGTTTTAGCCATGGATGCCAATGTTGGTTGGTGCTACCATGAGGTTGACATTTATGGTTTTAAGTGAAATGTCTCAACTGGATGAACTTTTCATCTGGCCATCATCAGGACAAAGTTTGAATTTGCTCAATACATAATATAACAATAATGTGCACAGTGAGGTTAAATATACTGCAATAACCGACACTTGGCTAACACATGTAAAGCTAAAGCAGGCCTCTGCTTCTCTTGCCTTCAAAGAATGCAATCTTGTGGTGATCTTCAGATACTGAGGATATGCTCCACTTCTCTGGCTGACGATAACACAAGCTGTACATTCCTGCAGTAAGGAGAACCAGAATAATCTCAGGTATTTGAGTGTCCCGTGGGCTATAGACTGCACAGCAGGGGGCAGGGTCACAATCACCAGGAGTAATGAAAATTTTACAGACACCGCTGCGGGGAGAAATTCATTTTGTACAACGCTTAGTTTGGATTTGAATGCAGCACCATCCTGAGAGGGCCAGAGAAACATTTCCATTCAGACATATAAATGGTCAATATGGTTATACATGTATTTTCTTCCTCCTCCTGACAAATTTGTCAAATGTCAGAATCTTTTTGAAGTGGGCGAGGCAGCATGCAGACACCTGTTCTGACTTGCGACTGAAAGAAATGATCCATAATCAAATCTACCACTCCTTGCTTTGCTTTTATTTAACCATCAAAAGAAATCTGCCAGTGCTGTGCCAGATTTACACTTGTTCTCCAATCAAATCAAAGTCTCATAAGTCTTAAATTAGTGAGTTATGTAACTGATTACTGGACTCCAAAATGGCAGCCATTTTTACCTCTCTTCTCTTTTAGGAGTCTGCAGTCAGAACTGAGGCTCATTAGCCAAACATGGCCGTACCTCTCCCAGGCCTATTTAAGCCAGCCCTGCTCTCCGTCTCCCTCTCTCTCTCATGGGCCCCACATCACCGGTATTTGGTGTGTTGAACATTTTTGTGTTTAAAAGATGTGTCCCTTATAATGGCGTGAGGATGGGGAATATGATTCTTGGGGCTCCAGAATATTTGTAATCTTTGCAGTAAAAAGATGATTTAGAGACTCCAGCCACGCTCCGTCAGGCTGCACTTAGACACAGCGGTGCTATGAGCTAAATGCTAACATGCTCAGAATGACAATGCTGATGTTTAGCAGGTAAAACACCATGTTAGCAGGCTAACATTTGCTAAATAGCGCTAAACACAAAGTACAGCTGAGTCTGGTGGGAATGCCATTAGGTTTGTAAGTATTTGGTCATAAATTAAAGTGTTGGAAAAAAGTGTGATCTGATAGTGGCACTACATAAAAAGTTAAGGGATCACTCATCCTGAGAGAGACATGAAAGTGTGCACCAACTCTGATGGCAACCCTTCCAACAGTTACTGAGATATTAAATACACATTGACAGAACGACATTACCATCCCAAACTTTAGCATGACTAATAAAAATGACAGCAAGACTGATTCGGTGTCATTTTTGTTGCAGTGTACGTTGCCATTAACTGGAACTTCAGTGAAAGAACGCTGCCATTCATCACATCAGTATCATAAAGTGAACCACCACCCTCCTCCCTCGTACAGGCTTGCACACGCCCTCATGCCGGCGTTAGGTTGAATGTCAAAGAGAGAGAAGGACGTACAGTACAAGTCCTCGGGGCCACACACGGGACCACTGACAGTCATAGCCGTTGACTATAGCTGCCACAACCTCAAACTGGAACTGAATTAGTTATTTGTTCCATAGCGTGCCAGTCCCTCCACAAACAGTGACTCTATCTTTATGTTCACAATGATGGGCAGTGTTGAAACCCCCGCCCCTTTCTGACTCTTTTGCTGTGCCACTCTTTCCCATACCTCTTCTTCTCTTTTTTTGGACTTTCCTGACTAGTCTGTCCTCTCCACCCTCTTTCTCGGTCAGATCAGACTGTCCCGCATTCCTCACATTCTAGCTGCGTATGTTAGAAATTCCATCCAGCTGCTGTGGGCTCGCACACTCTCTTCCTCCACTCCTTCTTTTCCATCCCCCTATCCTTCACCCATCTCCTCTCCATCTCCTCGTACATCTGGTCTGAGGCGGACGTGGCTTCACTAGCAGTTTCACCCTCACCTCCCCTATGCCCCCCTCCTTTCTTTCTCTCTTGGCCTTATCCGAGCGAAGGAGTCAGACGGTGCCACATGACAGCCAGTGTGGAAGGCCTT